ATATGACCGCAAACGACCAGGTTTAATACGCGACGTGAATATTCAAGCTTAGCGACCGCGTTCGTGCAACAATGCAGCACTTGCTATGGGACGGATGGTACTATTGCTTCTAGGTCAAGCTGAAATATGCGGTGAGGAAGGAAAAATAAGTAGCCAACACAAATAAAGAAAAGTGGAGTGAGAAACTGAAGGTGTCATCTCGAGTTATCGATGATCAGGGATACAGTAAAAACCCGCAACTAAGAACCTAAAAATTAAGAACCTGTTAGCCTAAAATTGGTCATTTATACCCCCTATAAACAAGAACCTATTTAGCCTAAGAAATTTGAAACAGGTTCTTATTTTCTAAAATCATACTAGTACATTACAGCTGCATTGCAAGAATCATATTTGAAGCAAAAAAAGCAGATTGCCATTGTTGTAAAAGTGATTTTGGGCCCTGCTCTGAATATTATCCTGAATATTATTGCTACAGTTAAAGCTTTGTACAGCTCGGCAAAGCATATAAATACATGCAAATGTATAAATTGATATATTCTTAAATGTTTTTTGGGGGGTGGGGTGGGGCTGAAGAAAGTAAAAGTATAGGCTAATGACCAACTTGTTTGCAGCTTTGTTTTAATTGTTTTTTCTCCAGGATTAAGAACCCATTTTGAGAACCTCAATAGCCTAAAATTCTGTTAACTACCATTTATATAAGAACCTGTTTAGGCTAACTCCTAAAAATGTAGGTTCTTAGTTGCGGGTTTTTACTGTATTCGAAGGTCTTCACGGTCTTTATTGTTTTTTAAGCAAAAATTCATGCTAAAAACCAAAAACTCTTACATTAAAAACAACAGAAAGAATTACGAGGCTTAAAAAATTCCAGAAGAAGAAGTAGTGAATTTAACATTCAAGATCCATATTACATTAAATAGCTACTCTATATTTGAAGAATAGACTATTAAAAAGGTATTTTAAAACGCTGGGTATTAACCCTAGGGAGTTGACTGCTAGGAACTCGGAGGCGCGCTGAACTTTCTTTCGTTTTGGGGACGGAAGGGCACGGAGGATAACCGGGCATACTGGAGATCTTCTTGAATAGTGAGCTATCTACCTCTTCTAATACGTGTCTTCTAATATGTGTCAGTTTGGTACGAAATATATTTGCGTTTAAAGCAGCGCTGTAGAAAATTCTGGATCGTAGTTAATTCTAGACTGCAAAACAGTCGGTTTTTTCTCAAAATCAGTAAAGAAATCGGTAAAGCGTGGCGTAAGAGTCTTACGCTTGCAAAGCGCGCGAGCCTCACACTCCCCTAGGGCGTGTGAGGCGAGAGGAAAAAAACGTATTTTTAGCGTCTCTCCCCAGTCTCACTCTCTGTTTTCAGCCTCCTTTGACTGCTCGCGCGTACTTGAATACCCAGAAATACGGACTGTTTTGCAGTCTAAGTTAATTCAGGTATTGAGGAGGCGTATATAGGAAGACCGTACTTTAGTTTCGGTGAAATAATTGATCTGAAAACGTAATCAACATCTGGTTGTTGTTATCCCTCTTTTCGTAAACATCTTATCACATAAAGACACTTATTGGCCTCCTGCAACTTAACCTTAATACATGTATGCTCATAAAATCTGTGATTTCTTTTACTTAACACTTTTAAACAAGAGACTCGCGTTATATTGTTCTATATCTTGATACTTCTTACAAAGTATCAGTTCTTTGCATTTTTTGGGATTACATACTATGGCATTATCTTGAGTACTACTAAAAAACTGATTGACAACCTCTTGAGAAAGATCTATTTCATTCTTACATACTTTGACTAGCAGGGTGGTGTCGTCAGCATATTTGATTATGCTGGTAAGGTCATTATCCCTAATGGCCAAATCGTTAATAAATAAATTAAAAAGATGGAGCCCACTCACACTATCCTGGGTTGTTCCTTTCTTCACAGTATGCCATTTATAGGTAACACTCAGGGTTTGCAAATTTTATTGATGAGTGGAGTCATTGTGACTTCTGCTTCACAAATTTTGGAGTCATTTTGGAATATTTGGAGTCAAGTACCACAATGAAAAAAGCCATTTTCAGACTTTCCAGCACGCGGTCCTGGCATGTATACAGTATCGTGAGGGATACACGAAGTAGCTGTGGCGGTCCGCTGACCTGGAAAGCTCAAATCCATGATGGCGGTCATCAAGTAAACTTTGATCGTAATTTACCCTCTTCTATACCTGCCAACTTTTTATGAGATGTAGGCGTGAGATTTTTATCCTGGGAGTGCTGGGATTTTTGAAAACGACACGATCATTTCCGAAGATTCCCGAAGAAGTCCGAAGTCTTCCGAAGACGTCCGAAGTCTGCCGAAGGCGAAGTTATCGAGAAAACACCTATCCACAAAATCAGAGATCGCGAGGAAGGTATTGTCATTTATTCATTTTACACATGGTTTTCGTTCGTTACATGGGTCTGAGTTAACATATTTTTGGAAATTGTGTCCAGCAAGACGACAACAACTCACATTTTTCAATCAGGCGTGAGAAATTGGTCCGCAGGCGTGAGCGGGCGTGAGATCGAAGTTTTCAACCCGCAGGCGTGAGAGTTGGCAGGTATACTCTTCCTGTTTTGTCGTGCAGTATAATTCTTTAATTTCGATGATTTAATTAAGGTTTACAACGTTTACAATTAACGTGAACTGTATTTGATGTGAAAAAGGTAAGGACAAAACTGTGCTTGTTACCGCAAATTTCTGGAGTCGAAGTGGCTCCCTGTTTGTTAGCGAAAATTTCTGGAGTCGAAGTGACTCCCTCCGTAACCTCCGTGGAGTCATCTGAACAATTTTGGCGTAAAATACGCCAAATTTGGCGTATTTGCGAACCCTGCGGGTAACACCCTTAAATATTAGTTTCTGTTTCCTTGATTAGAAAGCTTAGATACCAGTAAACAACTGGATTATGGATTGAGATGAAGAGCCTTTAGCTTTTCCCCAGCTAATGAGCTTCACATTATCAAAGGCTTTCGAAAAATCCATTGCAAAAAGCCTAACATAGTGACAATCCTTATCATCAAGTGAATCCCTACCATCGATGACAAGTCCTCCACTTTTGTGAAAGTGGCCCTTATCAGCAGCTCTTTTCTTTTTCTTTAACAGATATTTAACTAGTGGAGTGATCCAAGGGGGGAAGACATCACAACCGTTCCTCACAGGGAAACACTGTACATAAGATAGGTTAATTGCTATTTCAACATCGGGAGAATTGATCATACAGCTCATACTGGTGTCCAATCAAAATCTTGTAACTCTGAAGTAAAGTTTAGCTTGTGATGCTCTCTATAATCCCAAAACAGCATTTAGATCGGATTGGTTTAATTTTGTTCCCCGGAGAAAGTATCACGCCCCAATGGTCAGTCTTTATCAGCACTTGAAAGCGTAAGGGGTCGTTCAACAGCTCAGGGTGGTTTGTGAGGCAGCTATCCAAGATAGAAGTCCCTCTAGCGACGAAATTCACCATGGGCACTAGGCCAGATGAGGTGGAAAGACTGTCCAGATCTAATCGGATCACCACGCCACAGAGTACTACCCCATTTGGATGCATGTCTAAGAATGTATCACAACGATCCATGATGGTATCAATAAGATCGCCTTCATCATACTGAAAACTTGGGGGATGGTACAATCCAATGATCAGCATATGATGTCCTGACGGAAGTAGTAATTCCACACTCAGCATCTCGAAGGAGCGTTAGCGATTAACAGTCAAAACCGTTAAGTTTTTCCTGTACAACCGCCAAACACTTTACACTGATCAAACGATCTGTGGCGAAGTCATCCTCTTTTTCTCGGAAATAGTGAAACTAAACAATCATTCTCTTATTGCGAACTGGAAAACTGTGCAATGGTTAGTGCATTTGAAGCGGGCTTATAGCTACTCTCCGGTAACTTATTGAAAATGCACAGAATATGAGTACATAAATGTTAAAACAAACATTCATCGTTTTGCGAAAAACTAAAGAAATCTGAGTTCAATTACAGTATTAATATAATCATTCACGCTAGTACTTGGCATAAAATACTTCCTTACCTTAGGAGTAGATATGCAGTATGTTGTCTGCAGAAAGGTCTCTGAAATCGATTACTTCCCCTTTTAACGACGAAGCTAGGACCCAGGGCCGTCTCGTTATCAGGGACTTCACGATCCGACGACGCAAAAGCAGCGGAAACGTCACTTCACTCGAGCTTCGCAGCTGTTTTTAGGCGCGAGGGTTACTCGACATGTATTTTCGTTTAAATCGGTGCCACCCATGCCGTTCCACTATTGAAACCAAAACGTTCCACCTCCCGTACTTTGTTTTATACAGTCGAACCTCCCGTAGGCGACCACCCAAAATGCCAAGACTTAGTGGTCGCTTACAAGAATCGAACCACAGGGCGCCTCTTCCGAGAAGAGGTCTGGGGACATCTATTTTAACGAAGATAATTTATGGCATGCTATTTCTAAGTTACGCCGTGTGTAGTTCCATGTTGTTACTAAAGTTCTTCACACATGTCGTATATTTTAAGTAGCCTAGTGCACACAGCGAACATAGAGATCAGAGAATGCGTCAAGTGGTCGCTTACAAGAGCTTAAAAGCAATGGAAAATCATTATTAAACTTTCAGGCCCAAAAAGTGGTCGCCGTCGCTTACAGGAGGTGGTCGTTTACTGGAGGTTCCAACTTTAAGGCTTTGACTGGAAACGTTTTGGTGTTTTGGATTGGCGGCCGCTTACGGGAGGTGGTCGCTTACGAGAGGTGGTCGCACATGGAGGTCCGAGTGTATATGACATTGGGTTGTTTCATGCATACAATTCAAAACAAAACCTACGAGCAATCTCTTCACTTGAGAATGGCAAGAGGAGAAGGGTCACATGAAGGGATTAACAGAAAGACTAAAGAATAACACTAAAACTAAAGAATAATACCCAAGTGAGTTTATTTCCATTTTTTAAAAAGTTTGACAAAAAATAGTTAAAAATATGTTACCTCTTTTTCAGTATAAACCCTATAATGCGAAAATTGTTCACTGAGATACAACGCACGCAATGACAATGAAAAAATATTGCGTTGCACCGTTCCTAGTAATATGAATTTTTTTGGTTATACTAACTTAAACAAAAGCTACGAACATTCTGTAGGATCGTCTACTACAGATGATTCTAACATCGATTTCGCTGTTTGTTTATCACTGTTTATATTGACCGAAAGGACGAATGCTTGGCTACCAATAGCAAACTACTAACAAATTGGCAACTTCGACGCGTCCTCGTGATACCCTGTCTGCAGGGTAAGGTATTAGTTACAAAGTTAGGTAAATAAACTATGTTTATCCATTCTATTGAAAAATATGTTACCTCTTTTTCAGTATAAAACCTATATATACGATAATTGTTCACAGAGATACAACGCACGCAATGACAATGAAAAATATATTGCGTTACACCGTTCCTAGTAACTTGAATTTTCTTCGATTATACTTAAACAAAAGCTACGAACATTCTGTAGGATCGTCTAACACATATGATTCTAACTAACATTGATTTCGTTGTTTATGTTGATAGAAAGGACGAATGCTGGGCTACCAATAGCAAACTACTTACAAATTGGTAACTTCGACGCGTTCTCGTGATACCCTGTCTACAGGGTAAGATATTCGTTACAAAGTCAGGTAAATAAACTATGCCTATCTATTCTTTAATCTACAAGTTTTAAAGCCTATATCATATCTTAAAGGCTAACTTTGAGAGTAACTCTGTAAGTCTTTTTTTGGAGACAAAGATTATCAAATTGAACTTTATATACACCTGTCTACCGGTAACAAGGTCACTTAGTAACTCGAGTCTCGCGCTAACTCAAAACAAAAATGATTTATTTTTCAGACGCCATTTTTATCGCTTTTAGTTATTCTTTGTTGGCGTTACGGACTTATCCACTCTTTCCCGCTTTTGTCAACAAGAGTCTATTGCTGCTTTCGGTTACATAAGGCATGTACAGTTCAGAGGACAATTATGATGATACAAGATTGGCCCAAAACTAGTGACGAACTGAAAAATATCAAAATATGCAATCGCGTATACAATTGAAAGATATGATACTTTGCAATTTGAATTTTGTTCTAAAAGTAAATTGAATATGGTAGAAAAGTTCTCTTTATAAGTCAGTTGTATCGACTATAATTTTTAGGAACATAGCGTCATCACGAACATAAGCGTGATTGGTAAGCTCAGTGAGCGAGCAGAACGTTGGACATCCACTTGCGATGTTTGTTTCCCTTCTTGGTCTCTGAAAAGAAGAGCTGCTTGGATCAGGTGTTAAGGTGTCGATCACGTGTTCAACATTATCTTGATCCAACAACATGAACGTGACCATCTGTCTGAATGGCCAGCGGAGAATTACATCATTCTGACCGCGCATGACAACAAAGAACACAGAGATGTGTGTTCCTAGGCCCATGCCATCTCCGTTTAAATATATGCGGGCGCACATCTTGTATCCATAGCGACTGGTGTAGAAGCAAGGGCTGTAGAAGAAGACGTTCTGCCCGCTGACCGCCTCGTTTCTTCTACGCGCAAACTCAGTTATTTTCCACAGCAACTGGCCATCGTAGCTTGGGAACTCTAGTTGCATCAACTTTTCCTCTAAGTTAGCTAAAGTGACACTTCTGTCAGCCAGTGTGCGCTCAATATAGTCAACCCTGCTGTTAGTCGCCTCAATTTCACGCTCATTTCCGGCCGACAGCGCCTCTAGATCAGCGGTCCTATTTTCAAGATTGCGTCCCCTTCGAGTAATGTCGCTGTTCGGTACACTGCCAGCTGAATCACCAGACACTTGAGCAGATGAACATACTCCCGAGGAATTTCCTAAAGCCACTTGTCTCCCCAGGGAGGCGATTCGTTCGCCATGCTCTCGCAGTTGTTCTCGCAAACTTTGGATTTCTTCTTCACTGATTTCAATTTGAGAGCGTAAGTGTGTGATAATGGCCTCGTAGTCAGCGGTAGATGGAGACGCTGCCGACGAGTTTCCTGAACCCTTTTTCCTATTCAGGGAGGTGACTCCTTCGCAATACTCTCGCAGTTGTTCTTGTACACCTTCCGTTTCTTTTGCACTTCTTTGAATTAGAGAGATTATGTGCCAGATAACACCAGAGTCTGTGGTGATATGCGGGCTTCTCGGCATAATTCTTCGATCACGAGTCACTAATGCTTCCAGTACCAACGTATCATTATGGTTGAAAACCTACAAACAAACTAATCGTTATGTTTCAAAAGCATTTGAAAAACTGATAAATAATAGGGAGAGCAACTGTTTAACCAGAGTTCGCTTATTTTATCCTGACTATAAATCACGGTAGTTTCTTAAGAAAATGCAGTTGAGAGATTTCAAATCTGGTTTAATGAAGGGTTAGCGGCCCCATCCATTAGCCTGTGTAAAGACCCCCCCCCCTCCCCTCCCCTCCCCTCTACTCAAGAAAAATCGGAGAAGCCAGAAGCCAGGGGGGAGGGGGGTCTATACACAGGCTACATCTCATTAGCTCAGTTGGAAGACCGCCGGTCTGCTGAGCGGAGCCCGCGGGTTCAGTCATACCTGACACGGCTCACCAAACAGGGTTAAAAAAAGAGAGACGGTTATACTCCTGCTGTTAATTATGATTAAAACCTTTTCTCGTTACAGATAATGCGCTTCACTGGGTGGTGACGTTAACCCAATAGACTTGCCTCCTTAAATCATTCTAGCAGGCCTAAACCATGTAAACGGCAATATAGTTCAGAGTTAGCCCCCCAAGGAATCTCACCTGCGCTTAGTCTCTTACTTAGATTTTTTCGTTTTTAATTTAAATCGCCTTAAAAAGCATTTTCAGCTCAGGTTTTGACAACGTTTTTCTTATAAACACTTCATGCAGTTTCCGGTACAGAGTATCTTATTTGCGTTCAGAAACAATGTCCATTCGCTGGCTATAATATATTTTTTGCTTTATTTCTTTTACGCAGTCTTGCACATTTCTTAAGTTTTATATCTACATTTGGATTTCAGTTTAAACCACATCTAATGTCAATGGCATCAAGCACAATCATCTTGCCCAATGCCGTAAACTTAGAGAGGACTGAAAATTGTTATTACAGCTGTGCGCTTATTGTTTGCGGACTGTAAAAAAAGTCGCCCTAGGATGATTATTGGGGACGTAAAAGAACCTAGGACCACAGAGATTTCGAATCAAGTTTAGGCCAAACAGACAACACCAATTTGTACCCGAGGTGACCAAGTCTCCCCCAACCACCGCCCCCAACCAATTACATGCCAACGAGCGATCCCACCTCTCCAATCCGCACGTACTGCGGAGCCACTGACTGCGAGGAAGGAAGTTGGCGCCGTTCTTCCAAGGTTTATTGAAGTTAGGTAAATTCAGTTAATTAAAAACTGAATTTCCATTTTTGCTCTTACCTCAGTATTTGAGCGGCCAATCTGGTTTCCGTCACAGTCTCCTACAACTAGATTCTGATGCGCCGACAACTAAAAGCAAAAGAATAACGAGTCAATCCAACGAAGAAACATTAGAGTCACATTTTAGAAAGTTGGCTCCTCCATAATTCATAGTCAAGGTTTAACAAATCAGGGGCACCCAATTACGGTTTCCTCTTAAATACGGTTAAAACACTTTTTAGGCTGTCCCGAGTACTTTTAGATCACTAGAAATGTATTATAAGCGGCGCTATTAGCCTGAAATTCATCCGATTGCTTGAGTCGTTTTCTCCTCTCAACAACGTCTGAATCGACGGGCCGTTAATGCCGTCCAGTGACGTCACTCACTACCCGAAAACCGGGTAGTGATTTTGATTGGTTGATTGTCTAAACATTCGCATAATTATGTATAATTATGAAAAATTTTAGCGGAATTGTCGCTTGATTTTCAGCGAATCGCATCCCTGGCATTCTTTCGTGTAGTTCAAACATTTCGATAAGCTTAATCTTTATCTTAAACAGCAAAATCGCCCTTGTCTTCGAAACTGAAATGCGAAATTGAACTGCGAATGAAGAATCATTGCGGAGAGTCGGTAGGTTTTTCATTTAGAGCCGCTTTGTGGTTTCGGCGGCCGGTGATTTTGTTTACGCGAAGTTTTCTGAGATCAATGTTATAATTCGACCTTCTTGCTATTTTCACCGTCAAGTGTAATGATTCTGTTAGCTTTTCTTTCTTGCTTCCTTGTGTTTTTTTCTTCGTTAAGGATCAAATAGCTTCTTTTCAATTAAAGCATTCGTGTGTGTGTTTATTTCATTACGTGATTGCCACCGAGTTGATTATAGAATTCAGTACAACCGGTTCAGAGTTGTACTGCATGCAATTGATAGTTTGAACGCTAAACATGAATTACGATCGAAAAAAATAAAGCAATTCTGTATCATGCAGACATTTCCAAACGATATTTCTCGGTTTGCCACTTGAAAATCGTGTTTTTGCATGAATTAAAGCAAAGGTCGAGGAGTAGTGACGTCACTGGACGGCATTAACGGCCGGTCGATTCAGACGTTACTGAGGGAGTAATAAAGACTCGAAGTAATCGGATGAAATTCATAGCTCATCTGCCAGACTAGACGGGATTCACCCTGTGCATATTCAACTGATCGGGATTCGGGATTCACCAGATCGCCGCTGTGTCCGTAATAAGGAGGTTAATTTTATACGATTTTACTCTCTGGGGCCGAGATTTAGTGCCCGTTGTCCGTATTACAGAAAACCTATTTGGGTACGCTTGACCCGGAAAAACTGTAATTCCCACCGGAATTTCCAGTTTTCCCATGTAAATGAATGGTAAGTAGCCTATCCTAAAAAGAAATATCCTAAAAAGAAATAATCATCATGATAGCTGGCATGTTTGGAATTTAGGCAACTGTGAAAAGAAGCCCAAAAAACCTTGGTGCGGCACAATAGGATTCGAATCAATCACCAAAGCCCGGGGGAGTACTTCTAAGAATTCTTGGTGGGAGTGTGCCGCTCGGAACTACCAATTCTGACCCTACATCAGACAGAAAAATGTCATTTTTCACACCGGTTTTCAGACCTGACCTCTGAGAAATTATGTTATCATTACATCCACTTAGATTAGAACGTCAACAGAAAAGATCTCTTAAAATCCACTTTGAATTCCCATACTCCTCTTTCTTTTTTTATTCAGAGGGGAATTGAAACGATAAATACCTTCATACACTCGCTCTCGTAGTTTCCTCCAAAACCATACCCGATTCCAGACCAAAATGGGCAAAGTGTATACCCGTTTTCAGACCAAAACGGCGCAAAAACCCTACCCTTTGGGGCTGCACATACCTACATGGCCTATGTAAGGGACTACCCCCCTCCCCCCCCCGGCACCAACGTGAACTTTACGAAAGTCAGGAAACGAGATCCATAATTTCTTGGCCTCTTACCTTTGCGCGTGGAATGCCATCCTTGTTGCATTTTTCACACACAACTGGATATGCTGGACACTCCTTCTCGTGGTGAAGCTGCATAGTGGTTACATTTGTAATGATTATTATTATATTTTTTTTTATCTCGACAAAGTAAAGGAATAAAAAATTTCTCAAGGCTTTTTCTTAGCAAAACTGTAGTTGGACATGGCCCAGTATAAGTTACGGCCAAGCCGTTCAGTTTCTGGCAACTAAATGTACATCACCTAAGGTGTCCCTTAATTCTTGCAGAAGCTATATAACTAATTAAAATTGAATTTATTTACATGTAGCATAGGTACAGCATGACAGCATTATAAAATACCTTCATTTTGTCCAGCCTAATTTGTTTTTTACAGAATCCACAAGTTTCAGGTCTACACTTGCATTCTGTTTCCAGGTGCTGAGGAAGATCAGCTTTCTTCACAAACATGCCACACTCAAAATGATCACAAGGGATTTTCATAAACTCACAGTTGCTAGTGTGGGCCTGATAAAAGAGGTAAACAAAAATGATTATTGAATGGGTTTATTCTATGAAATTCCAAGCACAAACCATGGAACCCCACGGAAGTTCCATAGAATGCCATGAAGGTACTTTACAGTGGATGTTTTCATAATGGCCCACTGGTCTTACCTTATGCTTTAGTTATGTGAACACTACATTTCAGTCAATTTTTCAAAAGTTTCTTATAGGTTTACGCAGAATTTGTTAACATGCAAAGGTACATAATTTAATTTTCATCATTTGTTCATTTGTTGTAGGAACTAATGACACTAATGAACTGAAAGCTATTAAGTTTATATACTATTCAATTTAATAAACCTATTCAGTTTAATTCATTTTCTAGTCAGTTTCCATTCCAAGTTGATGTAAGTGTAGGACACATATCTCCCAGTAATAATAAAGTCACTCAGGTACGCAGGTCGTCGCCTGGTTCTTTTCAGTCTTAGCTTGTGGGTTTGTGGATCGACTGGATAGCTAAGAAGTGTCTCCAATGGCCGGGCTTGACATACGCACTTCCTGGCAATTCACTACTTTTGCACCTTCTTCCTGTTGTCTGCCACTACCACCACTCTGTTTAGTAAGGTCCTCTTGCACTGGCTCTGTGGTTGCTTCTCTTTCATCTCTTGTTCAGGTAGTTCAGGTAAATCTCCTGCTCAACATACTTTGGGAAATGGGTTGATCTTTCATGTTACTCGCACCCATCAAACCTGTCTCTCTTCAGTCTTCATGCTGACTGCCGTCATCTTCATTCTCCTGGCATTTCCATTTTTGAACTGGCTAGCATCTCGCTAAAACCTCTCAGCCGTCTGTAATACATCTTGCAGTAATAGCAAATCCATTGATTTTTTGACTGTGTTGAATACAGGCTCATATAAGGTTGACCATTTGTTCACCTATCTTTGTCTTAACAGGACATGATCTCCCACGGCAAAATTGTGTCCCTTACTGCTTACACCTTCATTTTCCATCTTCTCCTTGTACTGGCTGTCCTTCTTATCCATCATTTCATCTTGGCTGCTTCTCTCCTTCCATAGCACTCTAATATAAGCCCAGCTTAGTTCTGACAGGTCTGTTCATCATAGCTTGATAAAGTGAAATGCCAGTCACAGGGTGTGACGTGTCTCTGTAAGCCATTAACATTTCTTGGATAGCCACGTTTCTATCTGATCCTGATTTCCCTTGCAGATGGGCAATTTTTTCTGTCTTGTTTAAGGTCTGCATAAATCTCTCCACCTGCTCATTTGCTCTAGGTTGATTTGGGGTGACTCAATAATGTAGAAATCCTTCTTCCTTTGCAAAATCATTGAACTGTTCTGAATTGAATGGCAGTCCGTTGTCTGAAGTTACCCATCCAAAGATCTTTTTCAACTTTTCCTTCGTTTGCTCCAACCATAGTTAGTATAGAGGGTCCCCTCTATTAACTATGCTTCAATCCAGTTGAAGACACGACCTCTACCATAGGATACCACGTTCTCTCGTCAGTGGCCACTAAATTGTAATGATCATCAGCAGCATGCAAAGAAAGTCATGTCCGTTAGCCCGGGGCTAGTGGATTTTGGTATAGGGCTAGTGAATTCTGTTCTTAACTTGCCTAACGGGCAAGTGAAGTTTTTTGAGGACTTCAAATTACAGACGATTTGTGAAATCAAGTCTGCTCCTAAAAAAGTTTTCGGGCTGGTTGAAATAACTTTTGGGCTAGTAAATGCTAAGCTTCAGCTTGCCATTCAGGATTGGCAAGCCATAAAAATGACTTTCTTTGCATTCTGACCAGGGTATTAGGTCCTTTAAAATCAATAGAGATCTGTTCCTACGGTTCTTCAAGAATAACCGATGGCTTGCTTAATGGGCTCTTGTTTGTGACTCTTTGTGGACATACTTGACTGCCAAAACAGTTCTATTGTTTGGCCAATCAGGTGATTCATAATGGGGAACCAATACTTTGCACGGAGCATCTGCTTAATTTTTGTCGTACCAATTGCAAGGTGCCCTAATTGCATGAGCTGACTTAACCCATTTGCCCCAGGAGATTTTGCTGAAAAAGGCGTTTTGAAACTAGTCGAGAGGTTTTCTGGTCACTGTCGTGCTATTAAGAGCTAAAACTTCACCACCAATTAACCTGTTCACAGGTCGTACACTTTGTGGCCTTCTGATCCAGATGCAAATATTAGCTTGCGAAGTTCTGGCATGCGCGTACAAAGCAAAGTTTCGAGATTTTTGGGTTTAAAAGTGACGCAGCAGTCTTGACTTTTACTTTTCGCTTTCTGTCCTCCCTCTTTTTCTTGCCTCATTTTTTTCTTACGCTGGGCATTTAGTAGGCTTCATTTTGGTGGGAAAAGTTTTTAGGAAAGCTTTAGGATCTTAGGATTAGATGGTAGGAAAGGTATATAGGTGGGTAGTGGAACAAGATTTTCATGGCAATTTTCAGGTCATTGTTACATGGTTTTTTGCCTTTTTCTCAGGTGTTCTTGACTGAATTGTGCTAATTCTGGTATGGTTTAAAAGCTAGATCTCCTCACTATGCACAATGTCAGCATATAAAGTTGTCTTTGATCATTAACCCATTCGCCCCTGAACCGCCCGTAACCGCCCGTGCGGATCCAGGTCCTTTCTACCCTTTGTGACGTCATCAGTTTTAACGGTCAAGGACAACTTTCTTCGCTAACTTGTGCAGGGTGAAGAGATCTTTCAAACCATACCAGAATGAGCACAATTCAGTCAAGGACACCGGAGAAAGAAGCAAAAAACCACGTGACAAGGACCTGAAAATCTCCATGAAAATCTTGTTCCATTACCCACCTACCTTTCCTTTCACCTAATCCTAAGATCCTAAAAGCTTTCCTAAAAACTCTTCCCACCAAAATGAAGCCTACTAAATGCCCAGCAAGAGAAAAAAAAAAATGAGGCAAGAAAAGCGAAAAAAGAAGGGAGGAGAGAAAGCGAAAAGTAAAAGTCAAGACTGCTGTGTCACTTTTAAACCCAAAATTTTGCTTTCTGCGCATGCCCGAACTTCGCAAGCTGATATTTTGCATCTGGATCAGAAGGCCGTCAAGTGTACGACCTGTAAACCGGTTTGTGGTAAGTTTTAGCTCTTTATAGCACGACAGTGACCAGAAAACCACTCGACTAGCTTCAAAACGCGTTTTTTGGTAAAATCTCCAGGAGCGAATGGGTTAAAACTGGTGACATCACAAGCGGTAGAAGAGATGTGGTTCCGCACAGGCAGTTACAGGCAGCTCAGGGGGCGAATGAATCAATGATTTTCTGTTGTAAGTTTGCTGTTAAAATGATTCTTTCCATGCAAAAAATCAGGCCATGGGATTTATACAGTTCTAACCCCTGATTTGGTAGAAGGGTCAGCCAATTCTGCATCTCTTTTGCTGCTTTCCCAGTTTCCTTTTTGGATGGTTTGACTTGAGCAATTTACGCAGCAGTGTACTCCATATTGACTCGTTTATTCTCTAATCCTGTCCAATACCACTGCATGTTCTGTAGTAATTAATGCTGCCTTCAACAACTTCTCTGTCATATTGCAGGATTTGCCATGGCCATGCATTTCCTTGCAAGACATTTTTTACCTCAAAATCAGTCTGCACATGCTCGCCCGCACTTCCTATTAACCAACTGCAGTTACTGCTAGTTTAAATTTACAGAGCAATTAAATACTGATACATTAACGGTTTGAAAATTTTCTCAAGAGTAACATTACTTTTTTCAAGCCTTTTTTACCTCCAAGTGCCTGACTTTGCCTTTCCATTGGCATCCTTCATCCTTAAATGTGCAGCTGACAACAAAAGCTTGTACTTCTCGGCGCATGAAATTATCAGGAAAAACCTAAAAAAAAAAGAATTAAGTAACAAATTATGAAAATATTAAGGAGTTAAATCAGGTCACTGAGATTTCAAGCATGGAGTTGAACAGATTGATTCTTTTGATTCTTTTTCCTTTCCTCCTGTGAGAGCATGGCGGGTCATGTGCTCATAATAGCCAGAGGAAATATCTGACCCCAGACCCCACCTTCAGTGACAGCCCTGTTAAGACCCAGAATGATATATAAGATTCAATATCTCAGAACAAAACACTGCACAGCATTTCTGCCCAAAATTAAAAATGACGTGCACTCTGTGTTTTATATTTTTAGTTAAGTCCTAGCTCAATTCTAGCAGTTCCTTGAGATTTCATTTACAAACAGTCACCGCACAGCAATTTTTTTATACTTGTATTTTGTGAATACCATAATTCTTAATAATAAATTATTACAGTGAATGCCCTTTATTACAACCACTTTTTTGTGGTCCGAATAAAATTCCACACATTTTTGTACTTGAAAAAACGTTAATCCACCCTGTTATTACGACCAATGATCACCTTTGTTTTTAAAATTGTCCCTTAATATGACAGGTTAAATTGCCAGGTGAGGAAGCTCAATGAAGACACTGAAGAAAGATGACAAGTAACACATTAAAATATTTCATTGCATTTTTTAGGCAGACAATTTTGCTTAATCGATATAATGTCCCACAAGAAAATTACAGTGATATTCTCAGTTAAAATAAATAGCTAGAGAATGAATAAGCAGACTTCACAGAGCTGTGAGAACACGTTTACATTTCATGGCCTAGCTCACACAATTTCACTCGTTAGCATTTCGATCGAGACCTCTGTTATTTAATCCTCTGTGGCTTTTATCTTCAAGTCCCTTTCCTTTTTTCCCTCATAAATGGGTTATTTAAAATGTGATATTTATATAGCTTTCAAGATATTGTTTTGAATTTCAAGATGCAGAGGGCATACAATGTGGGGCCTCAATGATCCCATAACAACCTAGAGGTGCTTGAATTATGGATCTTACAAGTTCTGATGAATATGAAGTTAATGACTGTGCTATTCACAAGTACCGTGTACTCCCCTGACCTTCCTGGGAAGGCAACATCCACACATATCCAGATATTTTTTAATCCACAACTTTTTCTTTCCAGAATAAAAAATTTCCATGTTCATGCATGTCACCTATCCGGTTAATCGAATTTACCTGTCCACTCAACATGTATCTGGATTCACTCTAGTACCTAGGACTCCTTTGGAAATATTGGCAACAGAGCACGCGTTGTAATTAAGCACACAAATTTTGCACCTTGCTCTGTCTTGTGTTATGATTCTCTATCTTATCGCTAGAAGTATGGTAGAATCAGCTCAGAAGTCAAAGGAAAATGCAAGGAGCAAGTTAAGGTTGACTCCTCATTTACCCTGGCCTCGAAGGGTTAAAGAGAGAGAACCTTGGAACAAGGTTGCCATCTTGAATACAGTATTCACAGTAAAGAACTGGGCTCAATCTTGTTGCGTCACTGGATAAAAAAATGTTTGTATAAATTTTAGCATCCACATGATTCCAGATTCATAGCACATGAAACAATTTCCACTGGCTCTGGATGAGAGTGGATTCAAAATTAAAGTTGCAGATTCGTATACCACAGGCGCTTTCCATTCAAGCCAAAATTCCGGAAATTTCGGTAGGTTCATAAATGGAACGGACCATTTCGGTTTGGTCTGACCGGAATATTCGGGACCTGAGCTTTGAAGGTGGTCCACAGTGACTGGTCTGGTCATTTCGGTCACTCAGACTGAAATGTCCCTTTCCACTTGCCAAAATTGTTGTCCCCAGTACCGCTCTTTTGTATCCTGCTTACAAGAGCAAGTAGTTTCCGATGGGAAGTGAAGTGCTGAGAGTAAAGCCATGACATCTCAAATAGTTTGAATCAGTTGCAATTTTTTTTCCATTCTTGATATTTGCCATTAACAGTGTCAAATAACTGACGCAACACGACACTGTAGGCGAAAAAAGTGTGTGTGTATAAAGTCCGTGATCAAGAGAATCAGCGTATTATTATTTTGTCTGAAACCTGTCCACGATATTTAACTAAAGCATTTAATTCATCAGTTAAGCCAAAGCCTGCCTGAATACAAATTTGGCCAAAACACCGAATTTATTTACTGCACAGTTCCAGGAATTGCTTGGAATTGTTCGAATATACTGAGAAATAGGATTCCTCCTCCTTTAGTTTTCCAGTTTTCGAGTGTTCTTTAGGATTGAAACAGTATTTACTCTTCTCTTTTAGAGTGTAATTTTGAGTCTGCTGTGAAACCACAATAACAAAATGCACGGTGGCTTGGGTCAGGTCTGTGCAACTGGAACCTACCATTCCACTGAGCATGTCAGAAGTTTCCAAAATTTCAAACTGGAATTTTTGTTGAATGGAAAGTGCCCCAGACTCACTGGATTCAAGTGGACAGAAGCTGTATCTGGAAAGAAAAAGTTGCAGATTCAAAAATGTCCGGATACCTGTGGATGGGGCCTAAAATCTCAGAAAATTGTGGACTGCAGACTGTGGACCAGGGGTACAATGCAGACTGTAGACTGACAGTAAAATGCAGGCTGGGTGCAAAATGCAGATAATGAGGACTGCAGACTGGGGGTAAAATGCAGACCGAGCATATGAACTGTATATAGTTGCAGAGGGGTTTAAGGGCAAAAAAATCCCGCAAATACAGTTACACAAAGAATTGATCTTGACCATGGGAGATTTGAATTGGGTAAAACTACAACTTTGAGTTAGCCAAATAGGTCTATTAAAAGAAAAGCTTGTGAATAAAATGATGCAAAGTATATTATTTATGTGTTATTTTACATGTTAAGTGCAAAAAATTATTAATTCTCACTGCCAATATACTTGACATCTGCTTTCACAAATCCATCCCTTTCATCTCTGGAACAATATTTGCCGGGGACCCGAAAACTTAATCGCAATCTTGTACCTTTTTTCCATCTGAGAGACCTCATGCTTCAACTTTTAGGTGATGTACGTTACACAGGATGATTCACAACGATGATTTTTAGCAAAATGTAATGTTGCAACATTGTTTTGAATTAAGCTGCAACATAATGTTCCAACAATATATATGCAATGCTGTGTTTTGCTATAAATCATTATTGCAAATTGTCCTGTGTATGAAAATGACCTTTAGATGTGAAGTTTTTGAACAGATCTACACATGACCATGAACTGGTACAACACGAAGATGTTTATGTTAAATAAAAACTGCCGACCCCGAATTCCAAAAAACAATAAAGAAGGATGTTCTGCAGGAAATCTGGATGACCTTCTACGAAAGTATGATTGCAAATCAAGGTACGCAGACTTTAGCTGTTCGGATGTTCATTGAAACTTCTGGTGAATGTGCAATAATGTACTTCAACTGGGAAGCAAGGTGTGTATAGTAAATGACTAGGTAGCTATTTGGAAAAGAAGGAGCACAAATGTTTAAACAGTCTGCAGTCCTCATTCTCACGACATTTTGCACCCAACCTGCATTTTACTCTAGATCTCAGTCATGTAGTCTGCACTTTACCCCTGGTCTGCAGTTCGCAGTCTGCAGTCCGCAATCTTCATTTTACACTGACCGGTATCACGTACAATGAATCAAAACAGTGAATAAAATGTACACTCAAACTAATGAAGCACCATTAAAATAATATGTAAACATCATGTCATAGCCAAATATAATAAATGGAAATAGTTTAATTTGCTAGCAATATTCTTTTAAGGATATCATGGTGGACCTTTGAGGCACTGCCGTATAAAGGACTCTACCATACCTCATTTTGATTCCATTCCACCTGATCCTGTAAACAAATCAAGCTGAAACACCCATCTCTTATTACATCTCTGCAATATTGAAGATGAACTTTTTTAGCTAATATTAAAACAGACCCATACACTCAATGAAGGTTCTTAATGTTCAATTTGCTTCTCTTTATGGCCGGGTTTTCATGCAATGGGCTCAATGCAACTATCGAAATTCAAAGCCATGCTGATGAAACCACAGGGAGGCCACGCAATCTGTTTGTGTAACCAACCTAATTTTATGGTAAAGTCAAGCCCTAGGACCATAATGATCGTTTCCAGTACTGGGTCATTACCGTGATCTTAAATCAATGGAACTGAAATATAGTTTCCCAGTGACATATCCTCAAAATACACAAGTATAGTATTTTAAAACTCAGATTCTTAACTAGTATAGAGCAATGCTTTATGACTCAGCTTGTGTATGGCAACGGTACTGTTTTTCTATCGTCCACCATCTCGAGCCATTCCCAAACTGCATTGCATGTTACTGATAACTCACACAATAGATATTTTCCAGTTAAAAGCAGAGACTGTGAAAGACTCCTAACGTTTAAAAACATTATTTAGAAGGTGGTCTTTTAGTCAACCTCGTTCCCAGGTTCTCTCTCCTACCCCCCCTCTCTCTCTCTCGCTCGCTCCATAGGGACGGGCAGGAGAGAACCCTAGGAACGAGGCTGGTGTTTTAGTGACAATTTCACTGTAATTTTGAAACTGAAAATGAGGCTCGAATCTCTGTTCTGTAGCAAACATATTTTCAAGTGAGTATACTTGTGAGGAACAGTAAACAGCGAACTCAAAATCCTTTAAATTGCTCAAAATACCACTTCTGAGGCAAAAGGACAACACTTTACTGAAGGTGAGGTAACAAAACGTTTAACTTTTATACATGCACATATTTAGGGGTGTCAGGAAAAGGCAGGGTTGGGGTCGGGGCCAGGCTGGGGTTGGAGTCTATCTTTTTTTAAAATAATGCTGTTTTAGGGCTAGGGTTAGTGTTAGGTTAGGGTTAGGGTTAGTGTCAACTTTAACCCTAACCCTAAAACAACATTATTTTAAAACATGCAAAACCCTTAACCCTGGCCATGGCCCCAACCCTGCGTTTTACTGACACCCCATATTTAGTGATATGCCTCTACAGATGAAGCAAACAGTAAATACTAAGGTTAGACACATGCGGCATAAATTGGGGCATAATGGTATAGTCGGAGCCTCGAGTAAAATGCCAGCATAAATATGGGCATTTTTTACGTACTTTTTAGCATAAAGAGATGAATAATGATGAGAAAATTAATATTTCCAGAAAAATGTAATGGGAAACTATTTTTCACTTTCAAGTGCCTTTAGTAAAGTAAAAAAATTAACTAATATATTCAAAGGCTTTGTTGCTACTTTCAAGGCCTTGCTGCACTGTTGCATCATTATGCCAGGCTGCAAACTGACCAGAGAGTATCCAAATATGGAGAGTTCCATTGAAATAAGACACTTTGGGTCCTTTTGAGCATTATTTGATGTTAATATTTCTTGTAAATTTTTAATTGATGCAATGAAATACTTTGATTCGGGCTTATGGAGGTATTTTTTGTCTGCAGGCATGGAAAAGGGCGTTAAATATAGCCAAGATCAGTTGAGCATAATGCTACTTTTCGAGCATAAGGCGTAATGCTGTTGTTTTGAGAGTAACGCTCAAATGCATCATGCTCAAACTTTCGAGCATAAATTAATGTATGTATTTTAAAAACCCTACAGTGAGTACAATTCCCAGGGGGGCACTCTGCATATGAAAGGGGTGGGGATGCTCGTCGTCTCGCTTAGGGGTGTAAATTTCGGATGTTGGTCTCACTTAGGGTGTTCTGGGAAAAAAGCCATCATATTTAACCGTGAAGGTCTCGTTTAGGGTTGCACGCGAAAAAATATATAAATATATATTTGATACGTATATTTTTTTGGTCTCTTTTAGGGGTCAAAAAAAGCTTGGGCCACGCCCACATCGGTCTCCTTTAGGTGTTTAAGTAATGATCCGGGTAAGGTGGATAGCAATTTCTTTTGTTATGCGGCAACGGTGCTTTCCAAATGTAGAAATGTTCTCATTTTTACACAGAGAATGCATAAACCTACATGAAGGCCGTTTACGCAATAAAATGCATTTACACTCCACTTTCAAAGGGTGTTTTTTTGTGTCAAAAGATTTCGACCAATCACAAGAGTTGAAAACAATAGCCAAGAAAAGTTTACAATTTTACATGTTCCCTACATAGGATTTCTTTGTTATTCAAACTGAGACCAGATTTTGTTATATGGAAGATGGTTGGAAAGTAAGGATGAATGTATGTACCGCTTTACGAAACTTTTGCTGTTTAAGTCAATCAGAAGTAAGTACAGACAATGGAAAAGTTAGCACCTTTTTTGCATTCCAACACGTTCGTTGCCGTCGATGCTATCGTTCTTATCTGGACCGTTTCTTAATTCAAAATTTCCGACGAGCATCCCCACCCCTTTAATATGCGGAATTCCCCCCCCCCGGTACAATTTTACCACATAATAAAAATTACATCGGTCAGACAAACAGATTGTGTGGGCCCCCTTTAATAAAACTCATGCAATTATAGTTTGGTTTGTTTTGGATTGAGTAATCAAATATTGACTCTGCAAAACAGCCATGCATTTTAACTCATGCAGTGGCGGTTACGAAAGGCACCAAACAACATGCATGCACGCAGCTGATACACGTGCCGATCAGTTCCCTAACGTGCTTCGGCTGATGCAGCTCCTAACTGCAGACCTTTAGCGATGCCCATCATGGACAAACAAGATCAAGAGAAAAATACTAAAAACTACGCTGCTTTGCTGCTTACGTGAAAAGATTTCCAAGGCATGATTTACAGTAGAAATGTCCACAAGCCGTCTGCATTGCTTCTCGCAAGAGCAAACCACAGGAGTTGCACAGATACTTATGATCGATGCTTTCCTTGTCTGAGGTGGCTAAACTGTACCCAGGCATATTGGCTGGTTTCCCTCGCCTACAAAAGTTTCGAAAAGGTCTTACGAAGTCCAGAGACGCCCCAATTAGAAGATTACAATCAAGTGAATGAAAAATGTTCCCGGGGTTTTCCCATATCCCATGATACCCCTGGGCGCTCCAGGAAACGGAACGAGGAACGAGGGACGAGGAACGGGGCAGGGGGAACGGGCAACGGGCAACGGGCAACGGGCAACGGGGAATCTGTAAAACGAGGAATCTCTAAACCGGATGGTTAGAAGTACTGGAGTTGGTGGCTTTATTTCCACGGACGAAGCCAGCCATTTTTTGCCCGAGTCGTATAGAGGGGGAGGGCAGTTGTAAGGTCTTCAACTGTCTTACTCAGTGTATCTGTGGACTGAGTTGTCCGGCAAGATGAAAGCCGAGTAAAGTAAAAGTAAGGATCCATTCAGCTGGATTATTCTGTTCGAAGTTTCATTTTTTCACATCAATCAAAGCAGAAAAATGCCTGGTAGTACTCCTGAAAATTCTTGGTGGGGTTCTCCAAATCTTGACCTTATTTCAGACCAAGAAATGTAATTTTCCACACCCGTTTTCAGGCAGACCTCTAAAATCCATACCCGTTTTCAGACCTGGCTTTTAGGCAAAAATTATGTTATCATTACTTAGATTAGAGCACTAACAAAAAATTCTTCAAATCCATTTCGAATTCGCATATTTCTCTTTCCTTCTTACTCATTTGGAATTGAAACGACAAATACGTTCATTCACTCGCGTAGTCCCCTCGAAAACCATACCCGATTCCAGACCAAAATGGGCAAAGTGTATACCTGATTCAGACCAAAACGGCGCAAAAACCCTACCCGATGGGGCGGCACATCCTATATACTGTAAAAGAGGGTCTCAATGGCGTTAATCGATAGGCGTAAAACGGCCCAAAATTTAGTCGATAGCCGTAAAAATTGAAAAATTTTAACCGTTAGCCGTAAATAGGGTAAAAAGAGTTAACCGTAAAAAAATTTTGCTCCTTAGATTTGATAATTTGAGGAAGGTGCTAAACTCACTTAGAACGGTTGTGATTCTTATTTCGCGGCTACTTTCAATCGGCTCTTTACGTTCCCGTTTCTGCTAGTTTTGCTTTTCACGAAGATTCTTGTCTGTCTTTTATTAGGAATGGTCCTTTTCATGGCTCACAAAAAAGTTTAGTTGACTGGCAATAGCTTAACCTTTTGTTTCTATTTTAAACAAAGAGTTCATGTCATTTTAA